GAGAGTTAGAGTCCTTTGGGAGAAGAATGCTGAATGGAACCGTTTGTATCCAGCGCAGAATCTCCGTGAATTCATGGTCGAGGGTGCGATGATGCTATCCAGGAAGAATCCGCCTTGGATTCAAGGAGCATTGAAAGCTATTTCGCATCATGGTGGAATCAGAGCCCCGTCGGAACTTGTGGAACAGTACTGTACCCAAGGGAAGGGATCCACTCTTTTCATCCACCGAGACTATGATCCAGACAGTGAAGACTATGGCTTCCGAGCGTATATGGACTATGGGAATGTGGCGTACCACGACTACATCCAATATTTCTTCACGCACAAGGAGTACCAGGACGTCTTCTCGTTGAATGAATATAGGACTGTTACAAATTCCGAGCTTGCGGGCGATATCATGGAGTTTTGGACTGGTGTTCTCGAACTGGCCGGCATCTTCAAAGACACGCTGTTCGAGGATTGGGCTCAGATCAATGAATGCAGAAGAGGTATAGAAATGTCTTTTCTTCACTTCTATGCAGCGAGCCGAAAATCAATCAATGACAACACCAAGAGGAATAAACCTTCAGGGCTCCATGTTACAGCTGAAGAACAAGCCTGTATCGATGCCGTCATGTCCAGGTATGCTACCAGACCAGAGTTCAGGAGAATGGTACGACTGGCCATAGCCCCAGAGCCCAAAAGAACGTCTACGGAAGAGCCTGATGTAGAGATGAAGGATGGCGAAGCCGACCCTGCGAGTACCACTCCGGGAGTCGAGGAGCCTGAACCACCTACGCCTGAGCTTGATCCGCAAGACTACAAGGATGGGGAAGGTCGTTCAGTATCCCCGACGAAAACATGGTCGCACTACCCGACATCGAATCCAGATACTGAAGAACGGAAAAGAGCTGCCAAGCGCAGTGGGCAAGGTACAGCAACCGCTTCCAACTGGAAGACTGCCTATGACAACCTCAGAAGGGTCAGAGCACGCGCAATGAGCCAAAAGGTGTGCTATTGTTGTGGTTCAAACCAACATCACCTGGCTATTTGTCCCAACACTGAGAAGAAGGACGAGTTGATGAACTCATTCTCTCACATGGAGGACACTATGCGCAAGTGCTTCACCGAGGACGACAAGGCAATCATCCGACGTGATGTTGAAAGCCGAAAGAGGAAAGCAAAGTCATCCAAAGACGTCGAAGACGAGGACTACATGGATGTGGATGATGAAGATATTGAACTTCCCGAAGAAGAACAGGAACTAGGAGGTAAGGTACCACCTCACTCTCCGAGAGCCAAAGGTAGACCACACTCGTCAGACTCTGCAAAAGAGGAATACGCGAAAGCGGTCGAGGCAACCAAGAAGGCCTTTGGGAACGCCAGTTTCGTCACCAGATTCAAAGAGCCCGTCGACCTCTTTGACATTGCCGATGACAAAGAAGGAGGAGAGTACAGGGTCGCAAATCACAGGGTTGATAGATCAGGTCCTAATGGAAAGTGGGAACTTGATGCACTTATTCAGGAGGCTGCAGCACTCGGAATAAAGATGCCCAAAGTGAAAGACCTTGTTCCTGACCAACAACAAGTTCACAAGGTTGGATATCGGCAGATTGAGGTGACTTGCGATAGAGGAAGCATCGAGATCATTCCACAGTATGGAGTTACATTCTATGTGGAGTACTGGAATGGACCGAAGAGAGATGCAACTTTCACGGATCCACCAAAGATGAACCCAGCAATTCGCATCGACAAGTTCAGCGAGGAGAGTCAGCGGGTTAACGAGGTTAGCCATAGACTCAATAGACTACTCAGGCATGGAGTGGGAAAGCATAATGGGATTCAATCGCACCGCGGTCGAAAACCTCATGTGTCCCCGAAGTGCAATGAGGGTGGATGGGTGAACATCGATGAGATCCTGGAATATGACCATGTCTTCAACGATGGTGTCGATATCAGTACTATCTCAGGTGATCGGCATCGTCAAGATGTCAAGACAGAGCGATACCAGTATTTATGCAAGGCGATGTGGCATGCAAAGAAGTTGCAGAACAGAGTACGCTATCAGATTGCCGCCATTCGTATCTCAAGGGAGGATGTCTCACTCGAAGAGGAAAGGCAATACTGGGCAAACCTCATGTATTACAGCACAGATGCAACGTCATTTCTGAAGCATGAACGTTGGATCGTTCCTTGTGCAATTCGAGCTGTTGCCTCTCACAATTCTGGAAGAGAGACTGTTCTTGAAGAGGATGTGTCAATATATCCTGTGTGGACTTCACATCTCATTCCAGAGAATGTGGCAATGCAGCTTGGAGGAAGCTTTCACATGACATCGCTTTCAAAGAGTTTTCCCTTGAATGGGGGTTCCAGAATGAATGGGGGGCTCAAATCTCTGTACCCCGCGTGTGCAGCAACACAGAAGTGCTCACCTGCCCCCTCTGAGGGTTATGCTTCCAATTTGCTGGCTTGCAAGTTCCGCACAGCTTTCAAGAAACTCCATAGTATTTCATAAGAGATTGGCCTGCTTCCGGCAGCTGTTGGGTGTGGCCATGGTTGATTGGGTACTTCTCAAGCCTGCTGGCCCATCAAGGTTCAAAAGCCGTTTGGCCTCGCGTCAAGACTTTGCGCCCGGACAAAACTATTTAAAGTTTGCGCAACTGAATGGTATTTCTCTAAACTATTCTTATTATGACAGTGAGCGTCATGTTCGCGCGCACTTTTGAGAAATTGTTTACAATTGTTTTGATTTTTTTTGAATGCAGTGATCTGGTCTGACCCTGCGGGTTGACTTTCGAGGGCGCGTTGCTCGATCAATTTTCACCTCGTTTCAGTTTCTGCAGCGCACTTTTCGCCGCCACTTTTATTGTGTGTGGCGTGTTGTTGCCCGCAGCCATTTTGTCCTCCGCAATGCCTTGTGACGTCCTGGGTTTGAGTGAGTGCGGTTCTCACTAACTGACTCATGATTGGATCTTGTTTAATTTTTGCAAATTTTGCATCATAATGCACAAACCCGTTTTTTCCTCGGTTTTCAGGTCGGACGAGGAGATTGCACCGGCAAAGGTGATGCCGAAACCAAAGGCCGGTGTTGCGCGGGTTCGAGTCAGTTTTCGGCCGTCAGAATCGCCGTTGTTTCTCTAGGCAACCGGTGGTCGTGGCAGAGTCATGAAGAAGGCCTTGAAAGTCAAGAAGGCCTTGAAAGTCAAAGGTCACAGCAGTGGCTTTGGAACGCAAACACCTTGGAAGAGTTTCAAAACAAAAGTGTTGCCACTTTTTGCCGCGGCCGTTGCTCATTCCAAGCGTTCAGCGTTGGTGGAGCCCTTCCGGGACCAACTGCCGAAGAAGGGGAAATTGAATCTCAAAGTGGTGTGGCCCTCAAAACCCAAGAACGTATAGAACATGTCAGTATGTGGAACGCTTGTTTTTAAAGTTCTGTTGACACCTCACTTGGTGAGAAATGAGGTGGCCCCGAAGTCACGGACAGCCTTCACAAAGAAAGGGGCTGCTGTCTTCACGGGCAGCAAGATTGCAAACTCGTGGAGTTCGATCCGTTGAGCACTCAGGACTCTTTCAAACTTGTTTGGTGGTGCGGTTACTACCGTGTTGTTTAAATGGTTCTCTTACTACCCTGGCCCTGGTTCCTTTGCAAGGCTGTTTCACCGCTACGACCACGGCGACTGCTGCCGATCATGTGTCTCTGAGAGCCTCTTCTGCCTTGTTCTCAGGAGTACATGCCCTGTGCCATATTTCTGTTGTATTCCTGTTAATTCTTCCTGAGGACCTCGCCAACCAGATCAGGTTCTCCGCTCAGTATCGCGAGTTGCTCCGCAGTTCTGGCCAAGAGCCCGGACGCTTTCTGAGCGTGCAAGCAGCAGAGTGGTTTCAAGGACCATTGTTTAATGTGTTGCTACCTACAGATTGTTGAGAATGATGTTTTTGCTGCAGGATTGCCTGGAGGTTGGACCAGCGTTCATCCCGATGCAGTTGACATGCCAGCCTTCCAGCAATGCTGGCCTCACGCTATGGATTGTGTTTTTGCCTCAGCGCACAGGCAATCACTGTTCCCCTCAGCCGCAAGACTTGCAGGCTGGAAAGCAGCCAGTGATTTCACTATTCAGTGGGGTCGGAGGACTGGACCTTGGGCTCTCTCAGTACTGACCTCAGGCTTCACCAAGCTCTGCCGTGTCAAATGATGTGATCTTCCAGATTTTTGCAATTTGTCTTCCAAGTGGGTTGGATTTGGCTCTTCCATGTGTGCTCAAGAGCTAGGCCGTGTGACAGTCATTGAACACTCAATGTCAAGTAGAGTCTTTTGTTGTTTTTTTTTTGTGGCGGTGACTCTGCTGATCTGTGCTTTCGCCATGGCACGATCGACTTCAGAGTTCTCAGAGATGATGACGGGTTTCAGCTCAACACCCTTTGCTTCGGTGAGATGCGTCGGGGTGAATCAAATCAGGCAGGGCTTCTATTTGCGGTATGGCTGTGTGTCAATGAGATGTCCTCATGACTGCGTTTTATCCTTCTGTCAGGGTGCCCAAGGGAACGCCAATCTTTGCGCGCTGGCAAGGAAAAACGTTCCGAACTCAACAATTTCTTTGGGTTGGACCAATTGGTGTTCAGTCTCACTTTGTGCACGAGGTGGCAGTGGTGTTGGTCTTCGAAGGCATGGACAGAGCTTCAAGATGAAGTCCGCAGTGTAGTCCCTTGACTCAAGCGGAATGCATGCTATGGCTTTGACTTTGAACATCCTTGTATATTTCAAGCGGTTCGTTCTCAGGAAGCAGACGCGGCTCCGCAAAAACGACCGAGACAGTGATAAAACATGTAGTGGCCTGCTGCTTCACCAACGCAAGCGCATCACGGACGGCTGTTTTTCCAGTTCTTGCCGGCAGCTCTTGATCAGGTATGTGTATCCGGTGTGCTACGCGCTTGCCTAAGCTCTATTAACTCAGCCTTCTTCAGCGTGTCAGTTGGTCATGCACGATGAATACCACCAAAGGGCATCTTTCGCGCTTTCTCAGGTGGAGGCTGACCCATTCTGTCAGCAGGTGTTGAAGGCTCGGATCAAGAACCAATGCCTGCACGCCGGAGTGGTGCATGGAGACGTTAGAACCTTCTCGCCTGGCCCTAGTGGTGTGGCCAACGTGGCTCGTGGAACCATAGGTGGGTTCCCGTGTCAGGTTCGCTGCTTAGTGATGAGTTGTTTGCTGACGTTTTTTGGCTGAGTTAGAGTTGTCTGACAGAATTGTGTGAATTTCGGCAATTCTAGCCTGCGTTGCTGTTCGTTGGCAGGGTGTCTCCTGTGCGGGACAACAGGGTGGCATGAGAGACAAGCGGACGTCACTTCTCATGGAGGCCTTCCGCGTGCTGGACGAGCTCGCAGACCCGTTGGGGCCCACAGCGTTGAATTTTCTTCCCTTAGATTTTAGCTGGTAGCATCTTAACTTAACGCTAAGGTGCTTTCTTGGGCTGGAGAATGTGCAATCGATCTTGGGCAAAAAGCCTTCGATGCGTCAGATCATGTGGGTGATTGTTCAGGACACGCTGGCTGGTAAAGTGCCGTAATCATCTATATGAATCCTATAGAAATTTTGGACCTTGTTCTGCCACTTGATTTGGAGGAGACCTCAAAACGCAACATGGTTCTCTCGTGGAGCACTATCAATTTGCAGAATTGCGGCCTGGAAGTGCACCACTTAGTAAAGTGTCTTCTCAGTGGATTGCTACTTGGACATTGGTTTGATCTTGGAACTCTGAGGCCAATCGCGGACGGGTGTTTTTCTTGGCACAGCGTGAGGGTGCAATGTTGTGGAAGGATGATTCAATGTCCAATTATGCAATTTTTGATCACCTCTCAATTTGTGCAATTTCGTTGTTTCACCTTTGCACTCCCCCGTTGTGCAGGACGATGGCTTGCGGCCACTGTCGGAGATTTTGCCGTCTGAGTGGAATGCGTTGAACCGTCCCCCCAGCATGCTGTCCTGGTTGGAAGCCGAGCGCTCTGAAGAAGCCAAGAGTAGGATGCACGCGCTGGGCAACATCGTGGTGCCCGTGCAGGCCAAAGTAGGTTGGCACACACTGTTGAAGATGCTGTCCGAAAGGCAGCGTCGCAATCTTTGAGCGCACGGTGCATTCTAATTTATCTTACAATTCAGGTGTGGTCTGTCCTTAAGCATTTCGATTGCTCCTGCCAGTGTTTTGTTGTCAGGATACAGAAGTCTGTGGGACTTGAGCCACAAACCACTTTTTGTGTAACTTGTTGCCTTCAAACTGTGTGGAGCATGGCGCCAGTGACCAAATTAGGAACCTTGATCCTGCTGCGATGCTTCAGCAGTCAAAAGCATCTACAATAATACTGCAAGGCTTGACATGTTTGCCACAATGTAGACGTCGAAGCCCAGTCATTCATTGATGTACGTGTGAACCAGGTAGTCAAACTGTTGCCCGTTGCAAGTGGTTGCATCTCCTTGCTTGGCTCTTAAGCGCCCAAGGTCAGGTCAAGACTTTGTGTTGCGCGTGGTTTTCGCAGAGGCGCATATGGCGAACGTCGGACCAGTAGTCCGCGGCAAGGGCTTGACCTTTTTGGCGAATTTGGTGCTCACGAAGCCGCGGCAGACCGAGGTGTTATGTGAGGTTTGCAAAACTGTGGCAAAGCAATGTGGGCGCTGCTGCGTCTCGATGCCATTGGTGGAGCTGGGCGCGGCTTTGACCAAGGCAAAATATTTGGCCTCAGGTGTGTCCCCTCGTGCGGTGGCGACTATGACCACTGATGCATGTATGCCGCCTTGTCCCGACCACTTCAAAGGTCTTGTCTCGTTTGTGAGGGAGGGCACCGTGGAAGAGTGCAAGCGTTTGCACGATCAGACTAAGGTGTGTGTTTCCCTTCTCTGTGAGTGCGCTTGGTCAAGGGAGTTGGCCAGCATGGAGGAAAATGATGCAACCCTCCTGTATGGCATCTTGTTGGACGCTTCTGCCGTGTTCCAAGACCTTGAGAAAATGCTGGCAGTGTACGCCGTTGATTCTGACATGCGTGTCAAGGCAGGCTGAAGCCCGGTAGCTGTGTCAGTCGAACCTGGTTCATCCTGATTCCAATCTTGCCAGGCCTGCCAGGTCTGAGAATCCCTCGCAGTGGTCAGGCCTATACAGGAGCAAGCGGTAGTTTCAACATACAGGAGACCGCACTTGTTTTTGGGATCAAAACATGGGGACCATGCAGCGGTGCGTTCGACGGCAACTGGCAGTAAGGAGTTTTGCGGGTGTGTGCTTGATACTTGTGTGGCCGGGCTCCATTGCTCCAGCAGGTTTTTACTACCAGCATCCAGCTCACATCAGAAATCAGTTAACCATTATTGTTTCTTCTTGTTCAAGTGAGCGAACAACTCCGAAACTTGAGGAAATTGTTTTTGTTATTTCAAGACCTTTAATTCGGTGTAGCTTTGATCCCTGACATGTTGCGGTGGTTTCTTCATGGTCGTTGCCATGTTGAGTCCCTATGATGACGGAGGCAGGGTAAGTGAGTCTTGTCGCTGCTCTTTCAATTCTCTTCCGCTGCTCTTTTTCATGGCTTCAGACAACATTGTTCTTTTCTACAGCTTTCAGGACTCATCGCGAAAGAGAAGTTTTAGCGTGCTGCAGCCCTGCGACGGAGAGTAACTCAGTCAGACCGTTTATGTTCGGTGTGATTGCAACCGCTTGACGGCCGCAGACGTTGCAGTTTGTTGGTTCTGCAGTTTGGTTGAACCTGGGCGGTCATGCATTGTTGGAGCATAGTGGCTTGAATTAGAACGTAACGCTCCCGAAATGGACCCCGAAACCATGCGGAATGTTGCAATCGTTATTCCTTTCCAAAGTGTCCTGCTCAATCCTTTTATTTTCTTTCCCACCTCCCATCCAACATTTCAAACAACGCAAAGCCTTTCTCTTAAAATGCAATGCACCTCAGCGTCCTTCCACCCCGCAATTTCAACCCTTTCCCCAGCCATGTTTTCCAAACAGGTTTCATTGTATCTCGGACCTTGGCTGCCTAATGCGGGAGTCTGTATGGCTGATCTATGCATTGAATTTGTTGAGGGTCTGTTACTTGACAAGTTCTGTCAAGCTGAATTACATTTTTGATAACTCTTGAGTGGTCCTTTCTTCCGCCAATTAGGTGAAAGGTTGGCATACTTCGAGAGATGCCAGTCGGGTCAGTCGACGTGCTGTCAGAGAGCGATGATGAAGAGCCGGTCATTCCAGAGCCACCCCGGGCCGCACAGGTCAAGAAACGGAAATTGGGTGGTGGTTCAGAAAAGGAGTCAGACAAACAACCTGTAGACGCACAGACTGCTTTGAGGGCCATTTTGGGCACTCCCTGCCGGCGCAAGCGCCGACAATGCATGTCTGCTTTCCAGAACGAGCAGTTCCAACCATTGTTGGAATACCGTAAATCCTTCGCTTCAATGCACAAATTGGACCAAGATCATTTGGTTTCTCGGAGCGTTAGTTGTTGGCTTGGAATGTTCGTAGTTTTTCTTCCTTGAAGACTGGCCAGCCAAACATCTTCAGGTTCTCCATACCATCCGAGATCTCATTGGCCAGCGCGGGGACACAAACGTCAAGTGGAAGCTGCTTGGTGAGACTGTTTGCCTTCGCGCGTGGAAGAAGCTCCACGGTGTTGGAGACTTGGCTTTAATTGGTAATTCGGGTTCGGTCTTGGAAGGCCGAATGGAAACTTGGCATCTTTGGCGCTTCATCATCTCTTAGTTTATGTGCTATCATATAGTTTGGAGCCGATTTGCGAACAGCTTCTTTCCCCTATTTGTAACCTAGCAATTTTGGGCACTCACTGTAACCTGTTGGCGCGCTTGCATTTGGATTGGGCTATGAGAATAGAACCTTCAAGTCCGGTTTGCCACCCCTCCAAAACATGTTTTTGTCTATTGGCGTAAGAGTTGAGGGGGCCTTTTCTTCTAGCCCAAGTCCATATGGAAATTTTGCAAATTTGGTTGGCCAATGCGGGCCCATCTGAGCCCCTGCAAAGGGTTCTCAGATGAACACCGATTTGGGGCCCTGCCCCTCACCAATCTTGGACCTTTGTTTTTCTTTTTTGCTCATCTTCCTGTCTGAACGTTTTGTGGGTTTATCCACGTGGCAGGAAACAGACGGTTCGAGAAGATACTCAAAGCTGCTCGTGAAGGGCAAACAACTGCTCCAGTGGATTTACGTTACTTGAGTCGGCCGAAGGAGTCCGTGAAGGATGATGAAGTCCGCGCTGATGTTGCTTCATTTCTGGAGCAGCTCTACACATCCTGTGCCGAGACCTTGCCAGATGTGAGAGATGACCCTTTGACATTAGACGAGCAACGCGAATTGGAAGCTGCGCCGTCGAAGGCTGAGTTGGTCGACCCCTATGCTGAAAAGCTCGACGATGTACGCGCTGGGAAGGCAATAATGTTGCCATCCAAGGAGTCTTCGAGCAAGAGGAAAATTCGCAAAGGTGTGAAAATCAACGCTGCCAGGATGAACGAGGAGGTGCGTTATCTTCCGCCAGGAACGATGAAAGACCACTGGGAGCAATATCGCTTGGTCTCCCGCTGCAATTCCAAAGCTAGCTTTGTGACGTTCTGGCGAGTGCCTGGCACTGGGTTGAGTGAAATTTATTGTAATTTTCTCCAGGCGCGGCGTGAAAATCTGACGGCCGCAAGGCTTCCCCAAGTCTTACACTTTTAGCTGTTTGTAGGGGACTTGTGACGGCCAGATTTTCATGGCCAGGCAAAGAAGAGAATCGTCAGATGTACTAGCCATGGTTTTGGGAATGTAGCGACGTGCCAATTTTCTACTTTGGCTTGGGCCAGGACATCTGACCCCCACAAGTCTTACACTAAGTATACACTACTGGCTGGACAAAAAGGACTTGTGGGGGTCAGATTTCATGGCCCAAGCCAAAATGCAATAATAGCGAGGTGTCTGGATAGCGGGGCTGCGCCCGTGATTCGCTTAACAAGTCTTGAAGTGACCCAGCATATCGCCCAGGTCTGGCTTGGTGATTTTCCCCACCTGAAATTCAGGGGGCGCTCGCAGCATTCTGAATGCACAACATGCGTGCGACGCAAGGCAATGATACGATGCCTAAGTGCCCATCTCCGCGCGCGTCAAGCGCAACAAACATATTACTATGAACACCTGCAGCACCAGTACAACGACCGCTTGACGTATTGGCGAGCTCGTGGGCATTCTAGGCAGAAGGGCCTGACAATTTGTTGCATAACAGATGGCATGGATCAAGCAAAATTTGGCATGCCAAGATCAGAGATCATGAAATCAAAGGAGTTTGGCCAATTCCAAAGGCCACGAATGCACATATCGGCATTGATCGCCCATGGCTGGTTCATCATATTCCAGGTGTCGCCATCCGACTTGCCCAAAGATTCGAATTGCAGCATTGAACTAATAGCCCACAGTCTCACAATTTTGAAGAAGATGGGAGCGCCTTTGCAAGACATGCACATTCACCTACAATCCGACAATACGTGTCGCGAGTGTAAAAACTCGCCAATGCTGCGTTTCCTTGGCGGTCTGGTGTCATCACACACAGTGGGATCTGCAGAGTTGTCGTGCTTGCGCGCTGGTCATTCCCATGAAGATATTGATCAAGTGTTCGGGCAGTTGTCACGATATTTGCTGCGATGGAGGGTTCTTCAAACACCCGATGACGTGGCCACGTGTATTCGATCTTTCCTCGACCAAGCGAAGATTTTCGAGCCGAAAGAGCACCGCCATGTAGTACAAGTGGATCAGACCAGGGATTGGACTCTCGGCAAGATTCTCCCACTCGTGTAATGACTTGTTGTGTAACGAGTTGCGATCTGTGCCCATGCTCGCCCGCCTTGCCAAACCCTGTGTTTCGAAGCACTTGCTTGCCCGGCCTTTGAAGCCTGAGCTGTTTGCGCGACTCTCGGGCGTAATCCAACGGTTGAAACTTCATGAAGCACTGTTCCACTTGTGTCAGAAGTTTTGAAAACAGGAACAATTGAACAGACGCGCGCGCGTGCTTTTGGCGTTGAGGCATGCTCAACTTTGACCCACATGTTTTCTTTTTCGGCCCCCACCTCTGTCCATTCCGCAGTCCATTCAGTGGACATCCGACCGTAAGTGAGGTTTCGCGCCAACAGGTGTACGTTTTCGATTGCAGCTTTTCAAAACTGCGGATAACGTTTGTTTCCAGTTCGTTTGAAAGGCGCGGCTTCTACACAGCGGCTGTTCCCGTCGCGGTTAAGGGCATCGCCGGGCCTGGAGCGCCACACACATTTCTACTCCAACGACGAAGCGATTCTGGACCGTTTCGGGTTGCTTTCTTTTGGTTTTGGGCTGATGTCAATTGGTTTCAACATTCCAACAGAAATAAGATGAAATCAGTGGAGGTCTAGGCCTCCCGGGCACGCTCCTTTTCAAGTATATAAAGACTGCGCGCGGGTCAGGGTGTGTGGTGGGATTTCGATTTTTTTGGCAGGGGTCAACAGGTCAGAGACTTGTAGAATGGCAACACGAAGTTGGAATAGGATTGCGATGGATGTGCAAAGATATCTTCCATTCCTTCAGGGTGCATGTTAGATCAGTGCGTTTCAAGGTGCGTGAGGGAATCTAACATGTTATATATATATATTTATGTAGAGAGAGAAAGAAAACAATTTAGAGTGGGAGGGATGTTCACAGAAAGGGTCACTTTGTCTCGCTTTGGCTGGGGTTAGTTTTTGTTTATCGTGCTGCTTGTTATTGGAATGTAAACTCCACTAAATTCTGCGCAATCATTTTTCTGTGCATCGATCAGGCAGACTTGCTTTGTTGATACGAATACCTTGGTCCAACTCACAGTAAACCGCAAAAAACTACGGTACTAGAAAAACTGGAACCCAACTCTTTTTTTGGCGCTCCGGTGCTTTTCTATCCTGCAATTATTGCATTATGGCTGTTGAGTGTGGCCACTTTGTTTTGAAGGTTACCTTTTTCACCCCTTGTAGTTCTCACTGCACCTTGATTTTGACCCAGGAGTTGCGGCCGATGACATCACGAACAGCTTCTGGAAAGGTTGCGCTCCAGATGGTGCAGATGTGTTGCTCAGGTGGGCCATTGTTGTGGCAAGTGTGTCTGCATGTTCTCTTTCACGTTTAGTTGACCGCCCCAGGACCAAACGCTGGATGCACACTGCGGAGTTCGACAACACGCTTCTTTTCTACCCTCGTGAGGTTGCTTTGCGACTGTTGCCTCTAGGGTTCCCGGCAGGTGAGGACCTTCCGACTGTTTCTGCCCAATTGTGAACAGCTTCGTGACCTTCGTGTCTGTAAGTTTTTAATGGATCAGGCCACAGTGATTTGAGTGGTTGTCGCAATCCACGGTATCCATGTTTCTGCTATTCTTGCTTAGTGCACTGATTGATGCAGGCATTGCTGACAAGAAGGACCTTGGGAGCGAGTATCGGGACCATGTGCTGAAGTATGTACCACTGATGAGGAACCCCTTGTATCGGTTGGAGAATGCGGCCAACTACCTTGAAAACTGGGTCAAGGGCTCACAACCTTTGCATCGCTTGCTAGATGTTTCTGGGTTTCTTGGCAATGGCCGAACGTTTCAAGCTTGTGTAGAGTTTTGAGCGTTGCTTTGTTGCGCGTCAGTGTGTATGTTCTTTTTGAAATTCGTGAGACCAGACCAGTCTGCAAGAGCACGATTGTTGTAAATGTAAGATTTCCCCTGCTATTCCAGGGTGTGTGTCTTCAGCGGGCCAGTTCCGGCCGGTGCCTGCGCTGCTGGTGGACGACGTCCAGATGCTTTTGCTGTGTCGCCAAATCCGATTGGGTCTTCCAGCCTGGTTCAGTTATAGGGCTTCTTTTTGCACCAGTGTTTTGTATTCACGTTCAGTTGTCCTGGAAATGACGCGCGGTTCAGAAGCAACCCTTCGCAGTTTTGGACTGAAGCTGCAAAGGCCGGACGGTGCGAGGGCAATTGTGGAGTCCTACACGAGGAGGGCAAAGATCAAAATTGTCCACAAGGCGGCCGCTCAAGCATGGGCGGAAGGAGTTCCATGGGCTGAGGCTCTTCAGATCGCAGACAGGGCAATCAAATCTGCTGACGCTTCCGTTCCCTCTGCCAAAGGCAAGGGTAAGGGGAAAACGAAAGGTAAAAGAAAGGGAAAGGGGTGAAGAAGATGTTTTTAGTCTTTTGCTCTTATTTAAGTCGCTACCCTAAACCCTAAACGTTCCGGCGCTCTGGAGCCAGGGGGCGGCAGTACCGGGTAGAGGACCCTTAAATCAAGAAGTGTGTGACCAGACATTTTCCACAATCGGTCCCAAACTTCACCCCTTGCCAGCCAGCGTGACATGGGACTGATCGGACCCAGGATCAGTCGCATAAGCCAAGTTTTCTCATTGAAACACGGAACTGCAAATTTTGTAAGGATATGTAGCGCCAACCAAAAACACTTCTATGTGACTGATCACGGGTGGGATCGGTCACTTGCCAGCCTCCTGGGCAAAGGCCTGGAATGCGACTGCTTAACACTGTCGCAGCTGAATCTTTGGGTTCGCGATTGCAAAAGGGCTTGCTCAACATGCCTTCCAAGTGACTGATCAGGGGTAGGATCCGTCACTTCCACCAATCCTTTTGGAAGAATCCGTCACTTGAGCAGGAGGGTGAACAAATCCGTCACTTGTGGATGGGGTTGAAGAAATCCGTCACTTAGGCTCGATGTGGCGCTCTAAATCAATCACTGAAGGGTTGGTGGGCACGCGGCTTGTGAATTTGGGTTTTGGAAGTATGTCTATCTTTGTGACGGGTTTTGTTATTTGTTCAGGATTCAGAAGGCTCATGTGACGGATCCGACCCCAAATCAGTCACTTATGGGTTGCGGACCTGAGCTGCTTGCCAAGCGACGGATTTTGAATTTGGGTAGTCCAAGTGACGGATTTTGTTATTCTCAGGATTCAAGATGCTATGCGACGGATTTTGGAGTTTCAGGCCTTGGAAGCCCACATCCCTTGAGATTTCTTGGTTTGGTGATTGTTGCTGCTGATTCTGTGGATAGGATTTCCAATTCTTGTTCTGACCTGGTGGGTTCTATTTTAGGGGCACTATATGAATTTTCAGGACGATGTTTTGAGCCTGACTGATGCTTTCTGTGCGTGTGTGGGGTCCGAAACTTGAAGCAGCTTTGGGGTGCACGTGTCCGGTGTATCTCAGACAGTGGGTTCAAGCGTAGCCTTGAGGCTGTTGGCGAGGAGTCATGGCGCCAAAGAGTCTGCCAAAGAGGAAAACGAGCCAAGGTGGCGACAAGTCAGCTAAGGTTCCGAAGTTGACAGGCCGCGCAGATCCTGACAAGTTGGCATTGGAGCACCCCCATGTGGCCCGCGTGACAGACTGGTTGCTAGTCTAATTCAGCGCGCGACGACAAACAATCCAAGATTGAAGAATGTTTGACATTGAACAGCTGGTGGCCAGGTTGGAGACAAAGGTTCTGCCTGCAGGAGGGCCTTCCGAGTACTTGAAGCAAACGTATCCTGACAAGGACAGGGGCCTAGCCCGAAACATGTAAGTGTTCAACGCGTGTGGCAATAGGGGGCTCCATCAATCTCTTGAAAGTCGGACGATTCTCCAACCATGTTCAGGAATCCTTGCTCCATTTTGCCTATTGGATTGATGCCTTTGCCCCTGCAGATGGCACGCGGGGTGCTCAGTTTTGCCTAAGACCGGAATTCGAAAGGCTTCTGGCTAAAGACCCCGAAGAGATGATTTCGTTGCTGAAGCTTTTAGTTCAGCTTGGCCGTGTGTTCATGTCGGCAGATCCAATGATCCAGCGACCCCAGGAAGATCTATGCAACCAGCATGGAGGTGCCAGGTCTGCTGCGTCCTTGGATGTTGAGTTTCCGTAGTGATTTCGGGATTTCCGGCTTCATCGACCCCGAGCAAGCGGTAATGCTGATGGAGTTGATCGCAAGTGAGGGGTCTAAGTCCCAGAATTCCAGAGATGTGCGACGATGTTCTTTCATTCCAGAGATGCGCGGCGTTTTTTCTAGTTCCAGAGACGTCACTGCTCAAAGAACCTATTTGAGAACTCTTTAAAAAATCTTCGGGCCTTCCCAGGTTCATCTCGGATCCAGACAAGGTCGCCGCGGAGAAATTGGCCATGACCAAGGTCCCTCCTGAGTATTTGGAAGCTCCCTACGAGGAACTTCCATGCTTGAATGACAGTGCCTCAAACTACTATTGTCTTGTTTCTGCGGCCACAGGGTTTTGGTTGAATGATTGGGGCACCCATCCCGCGTCCCAAGGTGCTGTTCTCTTGCCGCCGTTCAGTTGTGCTTACATTAAGGGGTGGAAGCGGGGAACTATGTTGCTCATTGTCCTCCAAGCGATCAGGGAGTTGCAGCTGGATGACAATATTGCTCATTGGATCAAGGCCGCTGCTCAGCGTTTACTTTCATAGCTTTCAACGTCATTGCCGCATTTTAGCCCGGAACCTTTAGCGTGTGCACTCGGATCAAACGATATGTTCTTCTGTGTCATGTGCCCGAATGGGTTCCAGTTGTAAGTTGTTTCGAACTGATGTCCTCTTGCGCTTGTCAAGCCGCGCGATGTGATCCTAAATGCCGGGCCGGCAGGTCAGCTTCGGGACAATCCACGCAAGCTTTGGATCTCTCCCTGATGTCAAGAGCAAGGTCTTTGCGAATCGAGGCTAGGAGTGTGGAAGTTCAGACAGAACCACTGGCCGATTGACTTGTTCTCTGGCATTAGAGGAAGCATCTAAATGCCTGGGTCGGGTTAATTTCCATGACGTTTGCGCGTGTTGTCAAACTCACTTCCGTCAAGTGACCTTCCCGCTTGACGCAGAGGAGCTACACTGCAGTCAGTGGCAACGAGAAGGCCACCGCACGCTTTCAACTTTTTGCGCCAGATCCAAATCCTCCAGAAAGCTGGTGGTCCTGGCGCCGAACAACACTTCCAGGATCTCAACACCAAACTTGTTGGTGCGAGTTTTGAAAGCGAAAGCTTTGAGAAAAGGCGTCGGCTCTGTTTTTTCGGTGTTCAGGAGTGGGAGCAAGCGTCTGGTGTTGCGAAGGCGTTCAAGTTAGGCAAGCTGGAAGCAGAGGCTGTGAGCAACTTGCAATGCCGTGTTCCCCGGCACATCGTGGATGAGCTCTCTGCAGCAGTGCGCTCCAGAGGACTTACACGACTGGTGACGCACGACTTGATCGCTAAGGACTTGCTGAACGCGGACTACAGTTCCGGCGTTGGTGTTCTTGAGGGCTGGCGGGAGGAACTTAGGAATGGCGCTGACCATTCCGTCGCGCCTTTGATTGTAATGTTGATATTCGATTTTTTGTTTTGTGGGGTTGAAGGTGACACAGTGGAAATCAAGTTGGCGCTCTCATGCTGTGCCAGGTGAATCTGTTCTTGAAGCGGCTCATTGCGAACTTTGACAACACACCGGCTCCTTTGCGCAAAGGGATGTCGTTCAAGGAAGGATTGTACCTACACCAATGTTGTGGAGGGTTTGTCCACTTCCTCAAAGAGTTCGAGAAGTTGGCGCCTCCAGACGAGTTCACGCAAGCAGCTGAATCCCTTCGCAACCAATTCGGGTTTGGATATCTTGATCCTGACATCTACCATTGCCTCGAGACACAAGTCTCGCCAGGGCTTGTGCGCAGCGTGTCCGCCTTCAGGCCTGCTTGGGACACCATTGAGCCACCGTTTTGGTTTCGAGCTTCCTTTGGATTGAATTTGGGCGTATGATTCAAACGGAGCACAACTTCAACTTTCCAGTCAGCGGTTGAAGGTTCACGTGTCTGCAGGCTACCACTTTCGACGCCGCATATCATTTGCGAGTCTATCTAGCCTCACTCTCCGCAAACCTACTGCCAGGGGAAGGACATAGGGTTCCCAAGGTTGATTGCCTAAATTTCACGCGGTTCTAGCCAACGCGTTCCTTTTGAAGGAATGTTTGTGTGGGTGTAGCTCGCCCATCACCCTTGTTCTCTTTTCAGGGATGGCTTTGAAGGTATTTCTTCTCGGGAAAATCAACCCTCTCCAATCCCTTGTTTTTTCAAGGCCGTTCATTGCGACCATTGAGAACGCAACAAAGAGCCGGAAGGAGAAGGAGGCTGAAGACCTCGCTGCAGACGTGCGGCAAGCAGATCTCAAGCAGATCATGGCGCGCATCGACGCAGACTTCGCAGCTCTGGATGCCATGTCTGGAGGAGACGCAAAGGAGGCTGTTGAGACCGCGCTCGACATGAAGTGGATCCGTGACCGGCAGATGATTCTCAGCTATTTTGGGCACAGGGGCTCAAATGGTTTTGGTGTTCAGGATTGTGGGCGGGTGAAAGAAGTTAGAATTTCAACATATAAGGAAAGGCGACAAGTTCGTTGACAAGTGGATGGCGGAGAATTGCAAGCTCATTGAGGTTGACGCTGAAATGCAGCAGGTGGTTCCCGATTTTATCGCGTTCAAAGAGCAATTCAGAGGCATTGCTGGCAAGGAGCGCCCTAGCATCTCAACGGTGCATTTTTTATGTGGAACTTTCAATTAAGGTGCTTCGAGCTTGAATATCTTTTTGGGTATGTTTTGGAAACCAGGTGTGTACTTTGTGGATACGATGCCACGGTCTTTCCTGCAAATGCTGGGTATGCGCGCCAATCGATACTCGCAGTGGCAGCCATTCTTGGCATGAGTCCATCGAATTGCTGCCACTACCAGGTTCCTATCTACCAAAGCCAAACCACAGTGCCTGCCATGGTGAAGCACCGCCGCTTGATCGAGGATCAACTCATTGCCAGCAAGCTCTCCATTGTGAATTCAATTCAACTCCTGTTCTGCAAGGAGGATTCCTCGGCTAGAGACCAGCGAGCCTTAAGCCAACCAGCAGTTGCCTTGCTTCACACCAATTTCAGCGAGAGTCCATGGCATTCATCCCGGGCTTTGGTGGAAGGGAAAGTTGGCCCTGTGCCACTTCTTCCTGTGGCGCAGTTTTTGGGCTATGACGACACGTCTCGCCCAGGTGCATCAGCGCGTGTGGAACAGATACTCGATTCAAGTTTGTTGTGCTGTCAAGTTCCTTTGTGTGTCTTGTGTTTTAACGTGTCTTTTTTGTTTTGTTTTTGCTTCCATTGGGTTCATCTTGCGTGCATCTCTACAAGGAAGGGTGTCCAGTGCCACAAACAGATCTTGGAAGGCTACATGGCTGGGATGGACATCAAGCCGGAGGACCGTTTCATCTTTGTTGATTTGGTGCCAAACAGGCGGGGCATAGTTTGGCGCCAACACGTTTTTGCGTATAGACTCATTGCAATAATATCAGTGTGTTGTGACCCCACGCTTCCACACGAGGTCTCACGCATTGGCTCAGTAGTTCCGAACCCCATTCCTGTTTATCTTCAACATCGAGCGCTGGTTTTCGCCCAACAGGTTTGCAGAATTTGGGAGGGCTGTTGCGGAGATCCGCTTGGCTGATCAGACTTCAGCTTTGCGGTACATCGGCTTTGTGAAATCAAAGGACGCGGAGACCGGGAACTCTACCAGCATCAAGGATTTGAGCTCCAGCATCCGATCCAAGGTTTGGGAGTTTTGGGATGGCAGCACCATGGCCCCAGCCAAGACTCGGCCTCGTGAGGCTCCTCAAGCTGCAGCTCCAAGTGTTGGCTTTTCAAGATGGCAAGCCACTCTTTCCAGAGATCATCCTCACTCGCTTTCCTGAGGGTACCACGGAGCACGCAGCAATCGACGAGAAGTTCAAGCAGTTCAAAGCCAAGTTTCCAGATCAGCCCGTCCAGAAAGTTGCTGGAGGCGCCCCTCCGCGCAGTGGAGGGTTGTGCGATTTCAACGTGGATGGGGGCAAACGGCCTGTCGATCCACACCGACAACTGGCCTTGTTGGCTGTGAAGGATGCTGACTTTCAGGTGCAGAGGCGGCAGGGGGCTAAACATACAGTAGTTGATTTTTTTGTGTTGTGAATAGAAAGAATAAACAAATAGAGCGTGTGGTTTGTAATTGCTGTGTGGATGGGAGGCTGGGCGCCATTGGCATGACGGCCAAGCGACCTGCTGTGGTGGTCACTAGGGACGGCGACATCTGGATTGGCAATACTACGGATTCGGCCTGCACCATGGGGCCAGTAGAGCTGTTCGGATTCAGCACTGGAACGTTCGAAGAGGTGACTTTGCGAGGCAGCTTGGCGTCGGGCAAGCTGATTGATGTGTTCAAAGTCTGCAAGGCTTTCTAAATTCTTGTGGGTGTTTCTTGTTATCTTGTCGCAAGACTTTAGGTTTGATGTTTGTTACTTCTTGCAGCTCAAGGTACGGCCACTGTAGACCATCGGGGCTACTTGTTTCGCTTCGCGGATGGCGATTTGAGCTTGGTTGTGGCGGAAGACAAGACCGTCCACCCGCTGTGCCAGTATCTTCGTACACTGGCAACACAGAAGGGCATCAGCGCGGTGGAGTTGGAGGACCACAAGCTGCAGCCCATGACCCAGCCTCAGGAGGGGTCAATCTTGGGCAGTTTTTTTCACAGCCCTAGTTGAAATGAAATTGAAACCAATTTCTATCAAGTCAGCCCCTACAGGTTGACAGCGGTTCCGACCCTGTCCCGGTCTCCTTTCGCTACAAGATTGAAAGCTACGAGAGTGGGAGGACGCACATGTTCAAGCCGAACCCGGTCGATGCAGAGTCAGCTGTGAAGTCTCAAACCATGGGTGCGCTCTTTGCGGGAAGCTATCACCAAGTCAAGGTGAACGATCGCGTCCAAGTGCTGTGGGAGGTGGGTGCTCCAATCTGGTGCGGGTTTCGGCGAGACGCCTCCTTTTAGGAGTGGTTGAGTAGGACATGTTTTTCATTTCCACGTGCCACTTTCTGGTCAAGAGTTTGTTCCTGTCTCTTTACACGGGATGGTATGGTCTGCCTTTAATCCATTGAATTAAACTTAAAACAAATGATCTGAAGTGGTAGCTATCCGATCCTTTGGACTAAAAGGCCTATAGCCTTGGATTGGTAGGAGGCCACAGCCCGATGCCATAAATCTTACACTAACCGTTCAGCAGCAAGTCGCAGAGCGTTGCAGGATTTTTCCGGAGCAGTGTTGTTTTTCTTTGCGTTATACAAGTGGGTTGGGTGGCAGAAGTCCAAGGTGCAGGGCTAAGGTTGGGGGCATCCTCACACCTGTCAGCTGTTCTTTCTTTGTTGCATTCAGGACCCGAAACCAAGCATGACTGTAGCGCCAAACAACAACGATCTTAGCAATTCAATTTGACCTTCCAAATTCAGTTCTTCAGGATTTTTGATTACAATCACTAACGATCCTGCGCACTTGTGAACCATTCCATCGGGACTGGAAAACTGGCAGCAACCGGCCCTCAAACTGAAGGACTGGCTTTGAGCTGCTCATGTGTTGTCCCACACGCGTGCGCACTTTGCAGAGTTTGCCAATGTTCTTTTGTTAAGTTATGGCCTGCTGTGAAAAGTCACCTTGCTATCACCTAAGTACAAACTAAACGCAACACTTTGCATTCCCTCAGCTTTCCTGCAGGTGGAGACAAAGAACAGCCCGGCAGTCATCCAAGCAAAAAAGCCAAAAATGTACATGACTTGCGCTGTTTGCATGGAGCCGCAGGCTTGGTACAGGCTGTCTCGCGAATGACAGGCCATTTAATTTTCCAGCATGCTTGATCAGCTTTGGCGTGTCCTCACCGCAGGAGCTTTGTTGCCTACCACTTTAAGAGATTTCCGAACCTCTTAAATCAAGCTTTTGTCTCCTATCACGCTGCTCTCAGTGGTTTGGACCAGTTTTTGATTGTAGTTTCGCTCTGAGTGAGTGCTTGGCCTTGCGGCCTTGCGGACCGGCAGTTCGACGAGAGGGTCTGTTGTTGAGGCAAAACAGAATCTTCTAGCCTTAACGTCAACACAGTGACAGGCTTTCACTAGAAGCACCGTTTTTTGCAGAATGCGCCGGCGCCATGCGTCATGGTATCCATGCTTCAAGCCCACCGCAGGTCAATCATTTCCCAGTTGAGATACACATTCGGCCCTGTGTTCAACTCTTGAGACTCGTTGGCTTCTGATCATGCCGGTGTTGGGTGTGATTACTGCCTTGTCCGGTTCTGATTCTGGGTTGAAATGTGTTTCAAAATTCTTTGGTTTTGCTTCCCAATTCTATCTACATATTTTTTGGCTCTTGTTTCGTTGGGTTTGTTTCGTGGCAGCGTGCTCTCAGGAGGATGAGCGTGGAGAGCCGGCGGCCAAAGCGAATCCCGCGCCGAAGTCTTTGCCGGCAGCGCCAGCCACCGCCAAAGTGAAGGGTGCGCCGAAGTCTTTGCCAGCCA